TCAGTTTCCCCCTGGCGGATCCGGGAGCCCTCGGCCCGAACCGCCCCCGGACCGCTCCCCACCGCTGGAAGGAGCAGACGGGGCCCGTCCCCGTGAGACCCCCGGCGGGTGCATGGCAGCGGTGACATCTCACCATCAGGGCTTCGCGCAGCCACTGCGTGTCACCGGGCTCTGAATTCAGAGGTAATGAGCGCTAGATGAGCTGTTCGAATTAGCTGTGCCTTTAGGTTAATTAAACTGTCAGTGCTCTGGCTTATGGTGATCTGCTGGAGGCAGCGACTGGGCCTCACTGTGCCCTGTGTGCTCTCAGATGCAGCCATAAATGTGTCTGACCCCGCCGTGTGTCGGGCAGCATCCCCCAGGCTCTGCCTGCCACAGATATCTCTCCTGCACTGCTTTGAGCGCAGCATGGCCGGTGGACTCCCAGGAGCATCTGCATGGTGCTCGTGGTTACACCAAGCACAGTCCTGACGGACTGAAATCGAGCAGCACTGTGTCCCTGCTCTGCACATGGTTTGCGTTGCTTTCCCCTCCTCATCTCCCGGCGTGGGACTGGGCCCATCTTCCCCACCACAACTGCCTGCTCCCCACAGCAACGCCTCCATTGCTCCATTGCCAGGCACGAGGCTGAGCAGAAGCAGCACCACGTGCAGCTGCAGTCAACTCTGGCTGCCTGCTGAGACACGAAGTGGTGATTGCAGCTCCCAGCACCGGCATTTCTCTGCCTTCATTTCTCTGCAGGGACTCCCAAATCCCCAGCAGCTGCGTGGTGGAGGGATTGTTGCCCACATCTCCCAGCAGAGGCTGATCCAGACAGAACCGCTGCAGCAGGGAGCAGTGAGGCACAGCTGGGGGAGGTGGGAGCGTTTCTCCTGAGTCCAACCGGGGGCACACAGGGGCACACACTGCTCCCAGCCCTGCTTCACCCATTCAATTGAACTCAAACTCTCTGCCTGTAATACAGCCAAGGGAGTCCCTGCAATCCCCAAAGGAAGGAGCCACCGGGGCTGGAGCCGTCCCACACCAGCAATGAGCCCCAGCTGTTCCCCCTCACCCAGCACCAGGAGGCTCCTGCAGGAAGGCTGTGATGTGTTCTGGTGTTTTTCCAGAAGATGAAGACTGCACAGTTGCCTGTTTTTTCCCTTTCTTTCCCTGCTTTTTCCTTCCCTCCCTTTCCAAATACAAGAGCAACGTTTGTTCTTTCCAACATCTGCCACCACTGGTGGGTTCCACTGTCACCGCACAGCGCTGCTTCCATCCCTTTGTCCCCTTTCCTCCCCCACCCCTGGGGAGGCTTTTGGGGTGCTCCAGCTCTGCTGCCTGTAGCTCTGTTTCCACGGAGCCTCCTCAGCCCCCCCACTCCCAGCACTGCAATATTCAAATCACGCAACGCTCATCATGTCTTCAGTGCAGCAATTAAGTGGCAGCTCTAATTAAGCACACGACGCACTCGTCTTCCATCTCCATCCCCAGACGGACACCAGGGAGGCCACGGCCATCCCTGTTCTGCTCCAGCTCGGGACCGCAGGAGCTGCAGGGGCGCTGCAGTCAGGGTGCTGCAGGTCTGGCGTGAGCGCACCTGGGAGTGCCGCGTCCCGGGGGATACCGAGCATGGGACAGCCTTCGGCTCCTGGAGATGCTGCCCGGTAAAGAGCTCTGCGCATCGCGGAGGGACGGAGCGGCGCCCCGGGGCCACGCCGCGCACCGCCACGGGCCGCTGCTGCCACCTGCCGGCACCCGTACCGGGCCCGCCCCGCGCCCACACGTGACCGCCGGTTGCTACTCACGGGGGGGAGCGGGGGAGCGAGGGGGGCGCCGGCTGCGAGCTGCGGGGCGTGAAATCCCCACCCGAACCCCTGCGGCGGTGCCACGCAGGACCCGGAGCTCCCGAGGCGCCCCAGAGCGGGGCGAGGCGCCGCCAGAGGGAGCCCGAGGGACGCGTGGAGGTGGCGCCGGTGGCACTGGTGGCCCTGGTGATACTGGTGGTACTGGTGGCACTGGTGCGATGTTGAACACATCTGGCCTTTAGGGGCTGTGGGATTGAAGGACGAATCCAAGCCCACCGTCCTCTCGGTGCTCTCCCTCACCCCGCCGCCCTCCTCCCCTGTCCCTGCACACTGCTGGGATGGCAGTGGCACCTCCCAGCCCTCCGGCCCTGCCATGGCGTGTGCTGCAGCCCCAGAGCTGGCGCTGAGTGCAGCCCAACCGCCTGCAACACTGAGCCCCGAGGCGTGGAGAAACGGGGGCAGAGTGGAGCCGGGAGCCCCCACTGCTCCTGCAGTCCCTGCTTGGAAAACCAAGCGCCAAGAACCCAGAGCTCATGCATTCCTGCCCTGCTGTCACTGGGATCTGGGGGACTGCTTGTGCCCCGGTGCCCCAAAACACGGCCCTGCCCTGTGTCCCAGCACACCTGAGCACGTGTCCCACTGCCATCACACGTGTGCCCCTTGGGAACTGGCACACGGCCCTGGGAGCTTCGACCTCAGCAAGGTGAGTGCCCTGGGACAGTACCAGGACATGGGGATGGGGACGTGGGGACATGGGATGAAGCCACTTGGTTATGAAACATCCCTGCATCCCCATGGCTCTAAGTCAAGATTTAGTGAGCGAGCAGCTCCTGATCCAGATGAGATCGGGCATCACAAAGGGCTTTGTATTCCAGGAAGCCTATTAGAGATTTAAATTATACAAATGGGCTTTTTACCAAAGATCCTCATTATCTGGGCATTTGCATTTAATCCTCAGCTATCCCTGCAGCCCCGGCCCTGCGCTCTGCTCACCTTCACCACGTCCTCCGGGGCTGATCGGGGCGAGGGGATACAGACGAGCTGTGGGGTCAGCAGAGCCAAGGGGAAGGGGAATGGGACAAGGCAGGGAAGGAGGAGCAGATGAAGGGGATCCCATGATGTCTCTGCCCAGCGAGGGGCTGGCATTGCAGCACAGCCCGTGGTCGTCTCTGCTCCTCTTCCCTGCGGCATCCCACAGTGCCCGAGAGCTGCAGGGCAAAAGCAGGGAGTGCTGGAGATGGAGGAATGGGGTACAGAGGGAAGGGGATGGACCATTGACCCCCAGCCAGGGACCTGGTACACTGCAGGGGGTTTGATGGTACAGCGTGGTCCTGCCCGCGCCCCGCATTATCCTCTGCCTCCTGTGATCCATTTCAGTGTGGGGGATTAGGTGGTTTTAGGGCCGGGTTTGAGTTAAATGGGATGCTTTCAAATCATCCTGCGTCAGTTGTGCTCTCTGTCACTCATACAGAGGGGGATTAAAATAGATATGAAGATTATTGGAGGGAACAAGGCACCCCCACCTGCAGGGAGCTGCCAGCAGCACCCAGCACACAGGGAGCCTTTGTGCCCCACAGCACTATTTCCTCCTCTTCCTCACCTTGCTGCTCACACCAAAGCCCCATTTGCAATCCTTTAGCCCTTTCCTTTCACCTTTCCTGATTGTCCTCCTGCTTTCATCACCATTTCCATGTTACCAGCCCAGACCCATCCTGCAGCACCCTTGAGCTCAGTGCTCACGGCTATTTAAAAGGAGAGAAGAGCACTAAGAAACCAATCTTGCTTTTAATATCAGCAATTGCTTCTTCCTGCAAGGTCCCCATGTGGTGGTAGAGGTGTCCCCAGCCACGGGTTGGGCTGTCCCTCACAGATCGAGGGAAATGGAGCCCCAGCTCCCTGCCTGGACCCTTCTCAAACTCCCAAAACGGAGCCAGGGCTGTGGATTTAATCACTTTATGCATATTTATTTGTGGAATTCGGAGAAGAGTGCCTCTTCCTCCCATCTGCCCTTACCATCTGCTCCCCGCGGTGTTTCGGAACAATCCCAGGCTTTGCCAGTTGACGGAGAGGTGCAGAAAGGCAGGAAAACCCGCGGGGATGTCGCTCTGTCTGGGCAGCAGTTGGCTCTGCAGGCGCCTTTTCCTGGTGCAGGGGCAGCTGCTTTGCTCCATCGCCTGAGCGGTGACCCCTGAGATGTGCCCACCTCCCAGATCCCACCCCAAATGTCCCCTTTTTACTCCAAAGCACCTGGCTGGGCACCACTTGGGCCAGCAGGGCGGTGATGGAGAAGCCCGTGCCCAGGAGCTGGCGATGCACAATAGGAGCTGCCCATAGCCTCCAATTCCTCCATCATTGTGGGGTTCTGGGGCTGCGGCTCCTTCTGAGGGGATGGGGGGGTTGGTGGATGAGCTGGGAGGGGTGGTGGAGAGAACGGTGCCCCAAGGAGAGGGCCGTGCACAGAGGCTGTTTGTGCTCTTGCTGCAGCCCCATCCCATCCACCATGGAGCAGAATCGCACCCTATGCAACAGCCGAGCGATTTTTACAAAAGTGCCCTTGAAAACCTCTCCAGGGCCACATGAAAGCGCCCGCCTGGGGCTGCAGGCACCTGAGCCACCGATGGGCTCGCAGGAGTCCCAGCACTCCCAGTACCGGTCCAGCGCTGTGCCAGCCCTCGCAAGAGCAGCCCGAAGCTGTGGGTTCGGCAGTGCCCGAGGGGGGGGGGGGGTGCGGGGCTTCGCGGCGGGTGGGGCAGCCCGGGGCGGGCGGGGGCTGACTGCAGCCGGTGCCCGCCGTGCCCCCCCGTGCCCCCCCCGGTGCCGGTGCCGCCCCGTAGCCCCGCGCTGCGGCGGGCACAGCCGGAGGGCGCTCCCCGTTGGCGCACAGCGGCGGCGTTGGAGGCTCTTCCCGGGCAGGTAGGGGGCGGCGGGACCGGGGGGAACCGGGGGGAGATGGGGGGAACGGGGACAGCATCAGGCTCAGCCTTGCGGGTGCGTCCCTCTGTGCCGGACGCTGCAGAGCCCCCGCCCCGGGGGGGTTCCCGGTCCGCCCGTACCCCGCAGCACCTTCCTGCGGAGGTCCCCCGATGCCTCCCACCGCGGGGGCACCATCCCTTGGAGGGGGGGGTCCTTGCAGCTCCCTCCCTGGGGGGGTTTCCCTGTGGATCCCTCCTGCCCCAGATGCATCTTCCCTGGGGGTCCCCTCCGTCCTTCCTCCCCCCCCCCAGCTGTGCCCATTTTCAGAGACTGCACAAAGCCCTGACGCTGAGCTGCAACGCTCCACAGTGAGGGAGATGGAGAGCGGTTGTGGGTCCCACAGTCTCTGGAGGGAGTGCCTATGGGGTTCTTTGTCATGGGGAATCCTGTGCACCTTTATCTCAAAGGAAGGGGGGTTGGGGTCTGGGGGGTTGGGGCAGTGGTACTCTGGGCACCGCAGACACCCCCACCCCTCCCACCCCTCACTGGGGTCCCCACTGGGCACCCAGGTGCAGGGAGGGGGCCGTGGCTGAAAGGGGACACTGTGTCTCCCAGCTCTCCCCGGAGCTCCGGAGCCGTCCAGAGGCACCAAACACAAACGGAGAGGTCGGAGGCACCAAAAATAACCCCCCCTGAGGGAGCTGACCCAGATCCATTCAGATCTGCACCCAAAGCCCTCCGCCGGGGCCGAATCCCCTCCTCCCCATTGCTGTGCCCTCCTGATGCCACCTATATATCACCCAGTATATTATGCAAATGACCCATCAGGGCGTATTACCCAAAGGGGGGGGGGCTGGCGCCGCGCTGCGTTGTCCCTGGGGCTGCCACCAGCAGCTCAGAGGGGGACGGCGGCATGGAGGGATCAGCATCGGTGCACATCTCTGTGCGGGTGCCTGGGGGCTGCCGGGGAGCGCTGCCCCATCCCTCTCCCCTCCTGTAGCTCTCAGGGACCCGCGCAGGGCCAGGTGCTCCTCCCTTGGGGTCGGCGTGCCCAGCAGCATGGGGAAGCAGAACAGCAAACTGCGCCCCGAGATGCTCCAGGACCTGCGGGAAAACACCGAGTTCTCCGACCTGGAGCTGCAGGGCTGGTACAAGGGCTTCCTGAAGGACTGTCCCTCGGGCATCCTCAACGTGGAGGAGTTCAAGAAGATCTACGCCAACTTCTTCCCCTACGGCGACGCCTCCAAGTTTGCTGAGCACGTCTTCCGCACCTTCGACACCAACGGCGACGGCACCATCGACTTCCGAGAGTTCATCATTGCGCTGAGCGTCACCTCCCGTGGGAAGCTGGAGCAGAAGCTCATGTGGGCCTTCAGCATGTACGACCTGGATGGCAACGGCTACATCAGCCGGGAGGAGATGCTGGAGATCGTGCAGGTATGCGGTGCCCGCGGTGGTCCTGGGGGCCGGGTGGCCATCCCCACGCACGCCCCTTGCCCAGACCGCAGCCCGGTGGCTGCAGTGTCAGAGGGGAAGCGCTGAGGCTGATTTGGTGGCACCTCACTGGGCGCTGTGGGAGCAGCTCCCATCCATCTCCTGCGAGACGGCTGCTGCCCACCATCTGCCCCGGCTCTGCTGGGAGCTGAATCCCTGCATGGTCTGGGACCCGGCCCTGGTGCGGGGAGCCCTCTGTCCCCATCCTCGGGTCAGTGGCAGTGGGCACTGTCCCCATTGGCGTTGTCCCCATCCCTGCATCCCTTTCTCAGGCCATCTACAAAATGGTCTCCTCCGTCATGAATATGCCCGAAGATGAATCGACTCCGGAGAAAAGAACGGAAAAAATCTTCCGACAGATGGATACTAATAACGATGGTAAATGAGAGGGGAAGGAGAGGATTAAGGGAAAGGTCTCATGGTTAAATCCGGGGGTCTTAGAGGGAGCTGTGTGCTCGCTGATTAAATGCTGCACGGTCGGGGGGAGCTCTGGCAGTGAGGGGCTCGGGGTGCTGATCACACATGGGGGGCAGCCGGTGGGTGGGGGGTGTCCCCAGGTGCCCCCGTGTGCCTGGGTGGGGTGGTGGCTGCTGCACTGAGCTGTGTCTCCCTGCAGGCAAACTGTCCCTGGAGGAGTTCATCAAAGGTGCCAAGAGCGATCCGTCCATCGTGCGCCTGCTGCAGTGTGACCCCAGCGGTGCCGGGCAGCTCTGAGCCCCCCCACGGTCCCCACAGCCCCCACCGCCCCCTCCTGCCACCACCACTCGTCCCTGCCATCCCCACTTCCATGTCCCCATGGGGAGAGCACCAGGAGTGCGGGGCAGCATGGCAGAGTCACTGCTGCTCCTCTGATGGGCACAGGGACGCGGCCAAAGGGATGAACCATGGTTGCTCGCGGCCACCCCAGCACCCCCCAGCATGCCAGACACTGCCACACCAGCCCCCTCCCCACAGCCAGAGTGTACGTGGGGCCATGGGCAGGGGCTGTGCTTTCGGTCTTTTAATACCTGCAAAATAAAGTGCGTGTCAGTGCAGTCAACAGAGGGAAAAGGCTCTCCTGTAAGCTCTGAATCCAACCTTCCTTGCAGCAGTACCAGGGCAGTAATGATGGACTCACGTCCTGGCCAGCAGTGAGCAGCATCCGGCGCTCAGTGCTGCTCCATGGCTGCGCTGTGCTGTGGGGTGGGCACTGGGATGGGGATGGGTCCTGTGCCCCACTCAGGGCTGGCGACGTTTCTGTGCTGTCCAGGATCAGCGAGCTCACACAGCCCAGCGCCAGTGGGAGAGGGCTGCAAGGAGCCTGGAGATGGAGAGCTTTGGGTGGACAAACCCTGCCCCCCACCCGGCAGGGGGGCACGGAGTGGGATGGCGACTCATAGAAATGCAGGTGGGAGCAGAGGAGTAGTGTGGGGTGAGGGCAGAACACTGCAGAGCAGAGCATGGGGCCGTGGTGGGAGCTCTGGTGATGAAGATGAGGAGACCGGCGATGGGGAAGATGAAGACCCTTTGGTTGCTGCTGGGATCATGGTGGTCCGGGAAGGAGAGGAGCTGGTACTGCGGCTGCATAATGCAGGGACACCCTGGGGATGCACCATGCTGGAGGGGACAAGGCAGTGCAGGGCAGCCCAGCACGCAAACCACTGCTCCTCTTCCTCGAGGAGATGCTGCAGGCTGAGATGTGCCCCTTCCCTCTGGTCTGTGGCAGTGCTTACAGACCCCCAAAGGCACCATGGGGAGGACTGCGCCGTGCGTCTGCATGAAGGATGGGCTGGATGCGAGGTGAAGGACAACCAGAGTCTTTATTCAAACAGTCCTTAGGACGGTTGCAGACGTACAGACACACATACATATTTACACTCGTACGCACCTCACAGAGCTTGAACCAATAAATTAAAACAAAAGGAGGGTGGGGGGCATGTTTTCCTTTATCCTTTTTTGTCACGTAAGAAACAGCAGCTCCCCGAGGCGAGGTGGGGGCTGCAAGAAGAAGCCACAGCCACAGCCCTGCCCCGGCAGATGCAATGACAGCAGCGCGCTTTGGGCAGGAGGGCACCTCACACCCGGGCTTCGATGCACTCCAGCGTGAGCATCTCGTCCAGCCTGCGGCCCTCGGCATGGGCACAGTGGCTCAGGTGGGCACTTGGGCTCTCAGCGCCTCTGGCGCTGGGGGTCTGCGGGCAGGGGGCTGCGCTGTGGGAGCGGGGGGAGCCGCAGTCGTCCGAGGTGAGGTCGGGTACGTCGTCAGACTGGCTGTCCGAGCTCTCCAGGTCGCTCCGTATGCTCTCAGGCTGTGCCAGGGTGATGTCCCAGGTTTTGCTGGCAACGCAGTCCTTTTGCTCACAGCTTTGGTGTTTGCACGTCGGCTCCTGCTCACCGTCCTCCTCTTCCTCCTCCTCCTCTCCCTCCTCCTCCTCCTCTTCCTCATTCTCTGCCATTTGGGTGTGGACGTGCAGTGAGTCCTCCGTGCTGCTGCCGCTGGCCAGCTGGTAGTGGCTCGGTTTGGCCTCGATGTCCACCTGGATCTCCATGTTATTACACTCCCTGCACAAAGAAGCACCCTTGTGTGACTTGGCTGCAGCCTGGGGCACCCATGGGCGCCGCAGCGCAGCGCAGGAGGTTCGTGCTTCCACTCCTGTGCCGGTGCAGCACCAGTGCAGCCAGCAGCCACCAGGGAGCAGCCTGCTTCACCCCACCACCCACCGCAGCACAGACATTTCCAGGATGCCCACACCACACACCTGTCCTGCGGGTTGTAGGAGCTGATGATGGAACCGGCCATGGCCCGCGTGCTGGCGTTGTCGCTGATGGCCCCCAGGCTGACGGAGTCCTTGGGGAAAATCTCCTTCTGGACGTCTGCCTGCACCTCCAGCCTGTGGGAAAGGAGAAGGCTGCTCAGAAATGCCTCAGGTGGTCCTCAGGGGGCAACAAACGGTCCCTGTGTGCCACGGGGTGGATGAAGGATGTGGTTGCCTCATCCCTGGAGCTGCTGCGGGCCACCCAGACCATGCAGGGGCTGGAGCAGGATGGCCTTCAAGGTCCCCTCCAACCCAAACCATTCTATGGTTCTATGGACAGCAAAAGGCTCAGTGCTGGCCCAGCTTGGCACAGCACTGTTCGACACCAATGGCTCCCCTTGTTTCATTTAATTTTTGGCTCCATTTAGGTAAACTCATTTTGTTTTCCATGTCAAAGTTGAAACAGTGTTTGTATCCATGACTCATGCAATTCCTAAGAAGAACAGCTCTCCACAGAAGCAGCATGTGGCTCTGTCTTGGCTGCCGTATCAACACGTCTCCAATTACTCAGCAGCCAAGCTGAGAAGGAAACCATGGTGTAAAACTGTAGTGCAACCTCCCGACTTGGAAAGCAGAGCCCTACATGAAGCTGCTCGGCCAGCACAGCCCTGGGAACCCCAACCCCTTCTCCTGCCCCATTCACCTGCTGTATTTCCCCTTGCCTCCTGAGAGCACGCCGCCGCTCAGCGTGCCGCCCGACAGCGCTGCAAAGCTGGCTGTCTCACTGTAGTTGCTCTGCATGACGCTGAGCCCATCCGTGGGGCTCCCACTGGTGCTCAGCACGCTGGTCAGCCCCTCGATGCTGCTTTCACCAATGCTGGGGTTCTTCAGGGCTCGCCAGGCGTCGGCCACTGTGGGGGAGGGACAGCGGGGAGTCAGGAAAATTCTTCACTCAGAGGGCAATGAGGCACTGGCCCAGGGTGGGTGCCCCATCCCTGGAGGTGCCCAAGGCCACGGATGGGCCCTGGGCAGCCTGAGCTACGGGCAGCCAGCCCACAGCAAGGGTTGGGACTGGATGATATTTAAGGTTCCTTCCAAGCCACGCTATGATTCTATAATTCTATCTCCTCCTAGTTAAACTGAAGTAAGCTTATGTTCAGATCTGGGAGCTATGCAGGCCCCCCTCAGCTCAACACAACAGGCAGTTAGAGGGTCCTGCTTCGCCCTCCCCATCACACTACCTGTGATCGGTCCGTCGTCTTCATCAAACTCGATCTTCACGCCCTTCCCATTGGCAGTGCTGACCCCGCAGCCCCCGCCGCGGCACAGCGAGATGGGCACGACGCCATAGACGTAAGCCAGCATGATGGGCACCCCGATACCTGCAGAGTGAAGAGGAGCTGAAGGCCGAGCTCTGCTGGGCAGACTCTCTGGGTTGGGACTTCCAGCCCTGCTCACGCTGGAAGGGAACCACGCAGTGCCTGCTTACCAACGCTGACAGCAGCGATGACCGGAGAGGCGATGACAGACAAGGTGACCCCTCCAGTAATGGCCAAATTCCTCTTGTGCTTGGAGGTTTTCTTCCCCTCATACCTGCTGTGGATCTGAGGGAAGGACAGGCACTGGGTGAGAACGCAGACACCGGGAGACACTATGAGCCCCCACCATGGGGTGTGCCAAGAGGGCTCCTCCTCCCAGCTCAAGGTTTGGGCACAATGTGACATCTGAGGAGATTCAACCACCAGCCACCGCCTCCTCTCCCCATACAAAGCCCAGGAGATAAGACAGGGCTTAGAAAACACAACCGAATTTGGGTTCTACGAAGAGACCCACCCTCCCCGTGAGCCCAATTGCTGCTCAGATGCCTGGAGCACACAGAATGCCCCGAGCTTGGATCTCTCTGCTCCCACCACGTGCTTTGCCACCTTTACCTTTCTCCCGACATAGACAGGGATGCCAATGACCATAGCAGGAATGGCAATGCCAGCAATGAGGGAAATGCCTACAGGAGCGCCGATCAGCGTGCCCAGCTGCCAGAGAATCTTCTTCTTGCGACTCCATGGCTTTTTGCCCCAAAATGTACAGCCAGATGGGCTTAATGGAAGGAAGAAATGACATTAAAACTTGAGCAATCCCTGAGAAACCCTAAGTCAACTTCCACAGGAACAAACCCAGAGCTTAAGGAGTAGGTGAACAACACAAAAAAGGTTTCTCCCCCATTCTGATTACTCTGGCCCTCGAGGTGATTATCACACCACCAAGACTGTGTTCAGTGACACGGCCTTTGAGGTCCCTTCCGACCTCAGCCATGCTGAGTTTCATAACCCAGCACGCCACAAAGCTCTCAAATGCCATCGTATCAGGAGGGGCAGAAGAGCCTCCATTCTACCACAAGGTGGGAAGGAAGCCCAAAACTTTGGGTCAGAAAGAAGAGAGTTTTGCCAACGGATTCCTGGAGAGGCGCGAGGACGGGAAGCAAAGCACCTGAGGTAGTGCAGGTCGGAGATCTCCTTCATGCACAGCCAGCAGAACTCACAGCCGCACACCGCACACGTCATGTGGTTGCAGCTCCCGTCGTTCATCTTGATGATGTAGGCACTGCAGCGCGGGCACGGCTTGATGTCGTCTGCTGCGGGGGAAGAGGGCATGGGGTTGGAGGTGTGTGAGCACGGGGGGGTTTCCTTGTTACGCCCGGAGCCTTTGCTTTGGATCACCTTTGCTAGCACAGAGGGTGGGGATGGTACAACCAGTTGGTTGTGCCCTTGGTTTTTCTTTACTCTGAGAAGGTAACAGCGATGAGACAGCACCCACCAAAGCGATTTGCTTGGATATAAAGGTCTGGAAGCAACAGCCCTTGTAAAAGCTCTCTCTGGCCTTGATGGGATGTGTTTCAGGGCATGCTTCAGTGCTGGGAACAAGTCATTCCTGCTCTGTGCTAGCCAGGACAACAGGGTAGGTCAGAATCATTATTAAATTGCT